CAACAAATATAAGTTAGTAACAAAAACACAGTGTAGAAGGTAAGAAGAGGTTTTACACCACCATCAGCCATAATGCTAAATTTGCATCTTCAATCTGTTTTCAACAGTCCCACACTCAGTGCAGCCTGACTGCAATCCTGATCATAAATGTGAAGCACACAGACAGAGAGGTACGGTTTAATGTTTATTGTTAACCTAAGTTACTGATCATTTACATTATTACAGAGTCTTTGCATGATGTAAAGGTTACTTTACGTTTATAGCTGAGTCTCAGACGTGACAGGTGTGACAGCAGGAAAGAGGATCAATAAACCTGCATCAACCTGCATTAAATGAGCAGGATTAAAGGAGCCAGACTTTGTTTACACAGGTAGGATTGTATTTTACACTGACCCTGGATCTGCATGAGTACCATACAGTTTAAGTGAAGCACTGGAACATGTTTATTATAGATGCACTGAAGCTAATCGGGATATTTGCTGTGAATCTAGCTATCGGGCTGATTTTCTGCTAATAACGCCCATTGTATGGAGTGATAACATCCAGGTGATACATTTGGCTTACTGTGTCTATAGGCACATATCTCAGTGACCACAAAAGGAGAAAAAAGAGAGAAATTATAAAGAACAGTGATGTGCAGGGCTCTTACCCCAGCCCACAATTCTGCATGCTTTTGGTAGGAAAATGGAAAACAAGTCCATGGGTTTATTAATCCAACGCTGGGGGATTTCTTTACTTCAGATCAATAAACTAAATAGACCAATAAATTTAGATTAGGTAATATACAAAAAAAACTATATAAATCTGGATAATGCACATATACAGTAGTGGAATATTGCACAGAAGTGATAGGCATGCAAGTGTTTTGAAAATATAGACCACATTATAGTACAGATTATTACTTTAAATTGACTATATTGTAAAGTCTTAAAGGACCTGTGGTAGTGTTCCTTCTTACCCAGTCAATGTAACAATCTGTTGCCAACAGAACTGCCGAATACTCTTAATGTGTCATGCAGAGTGTGAGAGGGATTCCCTAAGACGGATGTGTATTTAGAATAGAATAGAATAGAATTTAACTTTATTGTCATTGCACATGCACAGGTACAGGGCAACGAAATGCAGTTGGCCAACATCCTCCAAGAAAAAACCCACCACAGACCGAGCACTCCTGACAAGCTGGTTCGGTGTTTTGCTGTCCGTGGTAGAGGACCTGAGCTTAAATGGAGTGAAATGAGATTGAGTTTTATGTACTGGCTGTGACGTCTTTAATAAACCAAAGAAAGAGATGGCAAACAACTTACCTCCAACAGCTTAAGCTCCATCTGCTCTAATGACCAGCAGCTTGCCTGGTTCGTGTTAGTGTGGTACACCTGGATGTGAGTCAGGGATTAGAGCTGGGCTCAGGTTTTATGACATTCTGTGCTTCTGGTCTTACCCCTGTCTGGGAATCCAGTTCTTAATGAACTATATATTTAAAAAGTATGCATGAGAGATTAGAGAGGAATAATAATCACAATAATAATGATCCTTGATGCTTGATCAAGAGGCAACTATTGTCTGCTGTCACTGCTGTAACGGTTTTGCTTTAGTTATAAAGTTTACATACAATATACAGTGGGAGAAATAATTCTTTGGTCCCCTGATGAATTTATAAATTTGCTCACATACAAAAAAATGAACAATTTCTTAATATTTATCATAATTT